TATATATATATATATATTACATATATATACATACATACACACACAGTACATAACTGTGTAGAGGCAATGTATGAAGATGTGACTACTGTACATTTAAATTACTATAAGCTACATATATATCATATAGTTTGAATTTCTTCTGTTTATCAATGAATACCTTATCTTGACTAAATGGTATAACATTGTAAAAAGATATGGATATAAAAGTGCCTTAAAGGTTCATTGCAGTCAAAACTCATGTTTAAATTTTGGATAAATGTTGATAAGTTGAATCTGACAATAGCCCACTAGCTGATAGGGATACATCATCCCAGCTCCACCCACAAGCCATGGTTATTACAAAGGGGTATTTCTATCCTTGTGTAATTTTTTAAGGTCTCTTTGTCAAATGTCTTATTAATGTAACTTTTTTGGGAAGACACATAATCGGTTTTGCAAATAAGGTCATTACTTTCCCTGTTCTGTTACCTTTGTGCATGTCCTAAAAGTAATCTTTGTGTTCTATGGTAGGTTGTTATTGGTTGCTACAATTTTGACATGTGGCATGCTAACATTCTACAGACAGCTGTATATAATTATAAATAGCTCTGGATACATTTTCAAGTAAAAATAAGCTAATAATGAAAAACTGAGTGACTGCAAGTTTCCTAGTTGCCAATCAACCGTTTTCACACAGTTTTTTACATAATTGTCAAAAAGGTACATAATAGTAATACATACAATCAAAATTAAGTGTTGCTTTTTTTTTTAATACACTACCTAATTAAATTAAAAAGTTGTCATAAATAAGTGTAATCAATTGAAGAACACTGGCAGAACATTATTAAATGGAATCATCAAAAAGCTTTATAGTTACATATTCCAATTTATGGAAAGGATCGCTCCCCATGATCAAAGAAGCTGTAGAGTTATTCTGTATTTAGGTAGAACTGTTCAGCTATTTTATCCTTTTCCAGGTAAAAGTCCTAGCTAAGGGTACGCACCACATGTTGCCTGATATTACCCTTATTACTCAATATTTAGGAAACGTCTTACCCCCCTCACCCCTTACAGAACAATGCCCACGGTTTATCCGCCAAACCAATAAAAGTGCTAGTATTGGCATGCCCACCAGGCAGGGTAAGAGAGGAAAGATGGACCTTATCTCCAATAATGCAGGGTTTAACCGTGATATTATGCCCTTAGTGACCACTTTCGCAAGGTGCATGTAAACATGTTTTTCTAGCTAACAAAGGTAATAGAAGGCACTTTATAGTGTCTGCCGATAGAATGGACTTTAACTTGAAAATGTTTAAGTTGGCTGACAAATTTGCATCAAATTACATTCCATAGAGGGCTGCAGGCACTGAGGGCTCAAAAACACATATTGACTTGCTGCGGCTACTAGGATGGTTGCTGAGATCAAGTTTTATCCAGGGCTGCCAAACTGAATGAAACAATTATTTAACAATAAAAAAAAGATCAGCTATAGACTCCTAGTGCTGTAAAATAAGAGAGGGGCAGTGGGTCACATGCTCACGCATAGCCAAAATTGCAGGGTATTTCACTTCGTTCCCCATGGCTGAATAGAGCAGCTAAGAATGAAGGAAAGTTGAGTTTATATTGCTGTGGACAGGAAGAACCTGAATGGGCAAAGGAAAGGTGTACCTTAAAAAGAGGGTATCTGCGAACATCTCATTTTCTTTTTTTGACAGAATGTATTTATACAAAGTTAAAAACAATGCTTAAATAAAGTGGTGATGAATTGTCATTCATCACTGCCCAGCTGAAAACCAACCTTTTGTATGTTAATTTTTTGTAATGTTTTCTGGCTCCAATAATATTGCAGTTACTCTACATTGGTTAAAGCCAAAATCAAATAATAGTTTTTTTTATCAAACTGGATATAGTGGGGAAAAATAACCTCTATAATTTTTCTAATGTTGCTTGGGATTCCACTGGGAAGATTTCCCCTCACTTTTTACCTTTGAAACACCAAAAAAAGGGGAATGGTGGTCACCAGATTTGGAAGCCACAAACAGCAGAAGAAACCTCAGACGTTCCAAGATTACTCAACTCTTCTCATTTTTATTGCAGTCTTTCGGCAACAGGAAGTGACGCTGTAGGGCTTTAAATATATTAAACATGTACCTACTAGAGGGCCCACTTCCAGTGTTGGAAGGTCTAGGTTAGCTGTGGCTATTCCGTCCCACCTGCATATATCTTATCTGCCACTTCTTCAGGGAATTGCGGCACTCCTCTTCGACCTTTGGGTGGCCACTGATGCATATGCACTGGATTAACGTTACCCCAACATGGGGCTCTGTTTTTAGCATGGCATGCACCATGCAGTGTATACACAAAATAATGTCTATTCTGCAAGTCTCTTCTGCCAAAGTTTACCTTCTAGAAACTTTTTATTTCATGAATTCAATTCTGCTTTAAAGCTTTGAAAAATGTAATGAAATATGTGTACCTCTCAAAGTGTGTCAGGACTGCTCTGTGTTGCTTGTTATATCATAATTTGTTTAATCGTTCCATTTTGTTGACTCTCAGGTGGATTTTGAGAACATCACTTTCGGATATTCACCATACTCTGACATTGAAGATGTCACTCCCTGCAACCAAGAAGAGACCAAGATCTTTGACAAACGTTTTGTGCCAGCGTTTTACTCCATCATGTTCATCCTTGGATTGCTGGGAAATAGTCTGGTCATAGTGGTCATGCTGGCTCAGCGTAAACAGAAAATACAGAGCACGGATATGTTTATTTTACACCTGGCTGTTGCTGACATCTTGCTGGCTGTCACTCTCCCATTCTGGGCAGTGCAGACAACTTCAGGTTGGATTTTTGGTGAGGCCTCTTGTAAAATTGTGGCATCCGTTTTCAAAATCAACTTCTACGCTGGTACCTTTCTCCTTGCCTGTATCAGCTCTGATCGCTATTTCTCAATAGTGTTTGCTGTCCAGATCTACAAGAAGCACAGGCTACACCACGTACACTTGAGTTGTTTAGTTGTTTGGATCACCTGCATTCTACTTTGTATTCCTGACGCCTATTTTTATTCTGTTAACTTTGAGGCCCGTACTAATATGACTGAGTGCGAGCCTTTTTTTCCTCAGTTTGCATCGAAGAAGTGGAAAGTAGGCATGTCATTTTTATATCACATCTGTGGCTTCTTGCTACCTTTTACTAGTATGCTGTTTTGCTATTCACATATTGTAATTACGCTGCTTAAATCCAAAGGGTTTAAGAAACAGAAAGCACTCCGCCTAATTATTGCTGTTGTGATGGCCTTCTTCTTTTGCTGGGCACCATATAATGTTGTGGCCTTCGTGGACACCCTGAATATGCTGGGTAGCTTTGAAGCTAACTGTAGCTTTCAAAAAAACATTGACATTGCATTGTCCATTACTTCCGGTCTCTGCTACTTTCACAGTTGCTTAAACCCAGTGCTCTATGTTTTTATTGGAGAAAAATTCAGAAGTAACCTAGCCGAGCTACTGGTTCACACAAGAATGTGTCCATATCTCGCGGCAAAATTTGTCAGAAGGCGAACACCTTCAACAAGGTCTTCTACATGGTCAGATTCTGGGGATACATCTTTGTCTGGAATTTATTAGAGAATGAAAGGGGAGACAAAAAGGACTGCTTATGAACAGAGAGGAACAAGGAAACAAAGATTTGCTCCAGTCGCAATACGTCTGAGCTACGCCTACAACTTTTTTAGAGCAGAGGGCCTAAATTTTGAAGGACCCTCTCTGGGCTAAAAGGTAAACTGGTATCAGCTTATGGCTCTTCCTCAATCAGGATACCAGCCCTATATGCCAACTCCATATCCTTATGGACGGAGTCACACAATGATGAATGTACTAGTTTGCTGGTAGATTTTTACATGCCAATTGATCAGCAATGGCAGGTAAAATGGCATATCTGCGAATCTCTGCAAATTGTGAAACAGACCAATTCTAGCCTAAGTTCCCTTGAACGTAGCTGATGCACCAAAAGAACCAAATTAAACACAAACACACATTTCTAGGACAGACTTTTAAGTTGTTATTGTTAAATGACTGCCTTCATGCTCTGGCCCACAGAGAAACAATATGTATAATTTGACTTTTCTGCAGAAGAAATTAAATTCTAAGCTTCAGTAAAAATGTCTTAATGGGTGAGTGTGAGTTTGGAGGAGTGGGATTTCATCGGCAGACTGTATTTGAATGCACACTGCCCTAGGCAACACCCACAAGAACTGAAAGAACTGAAATCCAGTAAGTAAAAGGGGTGGGCCAGGGATGGTCAGGCCTAGGAGGAAAGAGCTAAATGTTATGGACATCCTTCAGCCAGGCAATGAGGCAGGCTCTATCTGATTTCTTTAGCTTCTAACGCACATCGTGAGAAGCTCAGAGTGTGTAGTGAAATCAGAATAAGCAATTTCCGTACAGGAGAGGAGCATGTACAACTATGCAAGACTGACGGCAAGGCTGGAGTTTAGCTTTATAAGGAATAGAGTAATTTTGCATATATTTTCTTTATTCTGAGGGTCAGAGCTAGGACATTTCTAAAAAAAGACAAACTGTTTATATTCAAAAGATTGTATATGGATATTTTGTATTCTAATATTTTTAGCCAGAAGGTAGAGCTCTAGTGTCCGTTTCACATGTTTAGCTGTGTATCCTAATAAACTTTGCGGAAAGAAGCCAGTTGTTTACAGAGCTTCATAGCTCAAGTTTGAATTTACACACACAAAAGTAGTAACGTATTCCTCGAAGTCTCTCTCCCACTTGAAATGGTTCTATCTGAGGTTTCATTTTGATACTGAGTTTCTGAAAGTAGACATCTAATGCTGTGCTATTTAGTAGGGATGTTCAGATGACAAGTACCGTATTCGGTACAAGTACATGTAAAGATACATACAAAACAAATATTTTATTTAAATAATATAGCAAACATCAGTGTAAAATATATAATCTTAAAAAATATACATTAAAAAGGCCCAAAACTATTAAAGGATTCCCTTAAATTTAAAGGAAATAAATTGGCAAATAAATAAATTGGCAAGTTGAAACCTCAAGAAACAACTCATCTGTGCAAAAAGAAAATAAATATATTTATTTATGTCATAATATGCTATTTTTTTTTATATGAAGTATTTTTACACTTAGGCAAGCTGTGTATTATTATATTTAGACAGATTTTGATTTTAATAAATGACAATAGTTTAAAGAATAACCTGTAGAACAAACTGTTTTGAAGATGTTGTAAAGGGATAACAATGTCCTATGATGACTTGGTGTTAGGGATGTGTCTGCAGGTGGTAATATTACTTTTGTTGTCATGTGTTCATGTTGTAGCATAGAGATATAAAGTGAAGTGCAACCTTATAACGTGATTGGATTGTTCTTTTGTTCATGATTTGATTTTCAATAAAACATTACTTAAACAATGTGTTATTAAACCTATATGCTTTTTGTCTTATATTTGCCCTTCACTATTTCTCGTTTAACGGGTTTAAAGTATAACTCAGGGGCGGACTGGGCCGGGGGGCAGGGTGGCAATTGCCAGCCAAGGTAAGGGGACAACATTTTAACAACAAAACCTGGTGACAGTTCCCCGGGAACATAAAATAAACCTTTTTTTCTTTTAAATACCTGATCCCCTTATCCACCAAAAGTGCGGCCTCCCGTCTCCCACGCTGTCAGAAGCTGCATACAGCAGGCAGACGGGCAAGGAGAAGGCGGGGGAAAGAGGCAGAGCGGGAGGGAGGCCAAGTTGCTGCACCATGGGCCTGTAGGTTGTACTTGCCCCCTGGGCTAAAAGTTGCCAGTCAGCCCCTGGTAGAACTCCAGATAAAAATGTATGAACCCTTGCAGTGGGGCTACCCTCACACTGCAAGGATTAAGTGCTCCTTTTTGCCTAGGGTCAAAAGTAATAAAGTTATACTCATCTGATCGTCCGAGCCAGCTTGCTCTTAGACCGGTCCCTGGAGCCTCTCTCCCCCTCCGCTGCAGCATTCTAAGGTCTATGAGTCACCATGTTCTATACACAGTGTATAGGATGTGAGGACGCCAAGGGACATACCATCGGTGCAGCCAGGGCCGGCCTTAGGCCTTTAGGCGCCCTGTGCGAGAAAGCTTTAGCCTGATGAAGGGGACCCTGTGCGGCCCCGAAAGCGCTTGATCCCACTTTGAGTGACTTCATAAAATAAAAACGAAGATTCACTAAAACTTTGACGTATTCTGTCATATGTGGAGTGCTGGTGACATCTATACACAACTGTGCAAAAAAGCTTCACAGTGCCCCTAAGTGACCACACCCCCTCCGTAGCCACACCCATATTTTCCCAATATCCGCACCATTTAAAGCCTCCCATTTTGTTAAGTCCCAAGGAAACAAATTAAAAAGTATGATAAAAATAAAACTTTTGTTCAAAGGTATTCAACTCGTAGGCACAATATAAGTATTCTTATTAAATAAAACAACAGTAGGCAAACAAGTGGTAAACAATGTCAAACTAAAATAGAGTCTATAAAAATAAAGTGCCAGGGTGTCATGCAGACAATTTGTCCAGTGGTGCCGCCCCTCTGCTACTTGCTTTGGCACTGCATGGAGGCATCGGCATCTTCTGCATGCTGCATTAAGGCCTTTAATCGTCGCAGAGCTGCAGGTGGTATGCTCATGTTGTTGTGCAGCATTGGAGCGGGGAGTGGAGGGGTGGCACTGTCGGCCCTCAGACCAAAACCAATACACGGCAAACCTCAGACCATAACCAATGCATGGCAGACCGCAGAACAGAACCAATGCATGGCAGACCGCAGAACAGAACGCATGCATGGCAGATTGCAAACTAGAACCAATACATAGCAAGGCGTAAACCCGAACAAATACACGGCAGAACTCAGACCAGAGCCAATGCATAGCAGAGCGCAGACCAGAACCAATGCACAGCAGACCAGCATCAATGCACGGCAGATGGGTATTCCATAAAATTAAACTTGCAGCTGTGTGTACCTGGGAGGGTCAGGACAGTGTAACCATTGCTTAACCTTGATGCTGACCCCCAGCCTCCTGCTACACCACCTTGACAGTCCTCTGCAGGTTGAAGATGGAGTCCAGGACCCCTCCAGCCCTGCTCTTCCAGGATTGTCAACTATGGGGGGTGGTTGGGGGAAAAACCATGTGCCGCCCACTGGTCCTCGGGAAGAACTGGCTCCAGTGCTCCTGCATGGCATGTCAAATATGGGAGGGAGGAAAAGCAATGGCCCCACCCTCAAAGCAGATCCACTGATGCACCGGTCCACTGGCTCCAGCGCTCACGGACACAGTGGGATGCTAAACATTGGAGGGAAGAGAGGCATTAGCCCCGCCCCCCGCAGCAGGTACAAGGTTCCTGTGCTCACGGACACAGTGTGATGTTAAACATGGGAGAGGGGAGGAGAGGCATCGGCCCCGCCCCTCGCAGCAGATCCCACGGCTCCCCGGCTCCAGCGCTCACGGACACAGTGTGCTGGCACCCTGTGCGGCCGCACAGGTCGCACACCCCAAAGGCCGGCCCTGGGTGCCACACCGAAGGACACGGGCTGGAGGGAGCACTGTAACTTTGCTATTTTTTGACCCTAGGCAAAAATGAGCACTTAACCCTTGATGTGCGGGGGTAGCCCCACTGCAAGAGTTAACAAAATGTTTATCTTTAAGAATGTTATGAAAGGTTGAACACATTTTAATGTGTAACTTGCTTTTAACTATTTTGCCTTGTGCTGTATGCTGCAACATTTTGCTTTTACAGATAAGGAATAAAATACGCATTTAGATGTGATACACTGGGGGAATCAGTGATGGAAAAAGATTTGAGGGTCCCCAGACAACAGACTTAGCATTAGTATACAATGCCTAGCCAAAGCTAACGAAGCTAGCAGAATACTCTGCAATCAAAAGGGTATCTATGCAAGAGATAAATCCATAATTCTATCACTTTATGAAACACTGGTTCGGTCTCATCTTGAAGTGTGCAGTTAAAGATAATGTATCCATATCTTCAAAATAACAACAGAGGAACCTTTAGAAATGTTTAGTAATGACAATCTACAAACACATACTTCTAGATAATTGCTGGCTTATTATACTTTGCAAACCATGTTTTTCTTTACCTCTCCATTCTTCTCACAGTGGCCATTTTAACTAAGGGCAGATGAATCCATCTCCCTTTACTTTGTGGAACACTGACACATTAGACTAGGGCATGTGACCACGTACATCATCTCAGGGAGGAGGAAATACCTTTCCCTGAGATCTCATGAGATTACAGATAAGATTTCCCAGCAATGCTCTGCTGATGTAATCTTCTTAGGATGCAACACTTGGGCACATTACATCACTTTTGCCAAAGAGAACCAGGAAGCAGAAAACAAGAAATTGTAAGTAACGTTAAAATATGTTTGTTTAACTAATAAATGTAAGATGATTTCATATCAGCATGCAGAGCTGCATGCTGATGTGATTTTAAGACAAAGGGGGTAAAGCTCCACTTTAAGTATTGGTCACCAATCCTCCTCTGGAAGCATGTCCTAAAACTACAGAAAGTTCAGAGAAAGGCTGCAACATTATTAACCACTTCAAGACCAGGTGTTTAGACCCCCTTCCTGGCCAGGCCATTTTTCAGTATTCAGCGCTGCGGTACTTTGACTGATGTTTATTCCGTCATGCAGCGCTGTACTGAAATGAATTTTATACCATTTTTTGGGGACAGATAGAGCTTTATTTCGGTGGTATTTAATCACCACTGGGGTTTTTATTTTTTACTATAATTAGGAAAAATTACAGAAAATTTGGGGAAAAAAAAGTTTTTTTTAACATTATGTTAGGAAACATTTATTATTACCCAGTTTTTTGGTAAAATATAAAAGATCGGGTCACGTCGGGTAAATAGACACCAAACATGTCAAGCTTTAAAATTGCGCGCACCCGCGAAATCGCAGAAAATTACCGTACCCAAAATTGGCCATGGGCGACGCTTTAAAAGCTTTTACCGCTCATCAGTTTAGTGTTATCAGTGATTGATGGCCCTACAATTATTGCTCTCACTCCGACGTTCGCGGCGATATGTAACATGTGCGGCGTAATGGGCGCAATCGTCTTTTTTGCACGTATGCGCCCCCGACGCATGTTTGCATGCGTGTATGTATGGGTGGGGACTTAAACATTTTTTTTTGTTTTTTTATTCTTTTTTATGGTGTAACTTTACGGGACCGATCGGCACCCCATACACGCGATCCGCCGGCTCTACAGCCGGCGGATCGCTTGTATGGTGACAGGCATCGCTGCCTGTTTTTAAATTTCGGCCATTTCCCGCTCGCGGGGGGGCGTGTCTGAGCGGACGTCTAAAGACGCCCGCTCAGATCTAGAGAGCTCGGCCGGCCGTTTTTTTACTACGGCCGGCCCGGAGGTGGTTAAGAGAGATGGAGTGCTTTATTTTTTTTAAATGACACTTTTTTACCTTGGAGAAGAGGAGCCTAAGAGGGGATATCACAATGTTCAAATTCATCAATGGTGGCTGTGGTATCAGTAATTATCTGTTTACTCTAAGACTTCTGAAGAAGACATATGACCACAACCTGATATTAGACAAAAAGAGTTTTAAAGTGCATTATCACTTTTGCAGTCAAATTGGAATATCACCTATGTTATATTTGTTACATGTTCCCATTCACGAAGCATAAGCGAAATACATTTTTTCGTATGCGTGTGTATACGCGCGTACGTGCGTATTGTACCATATGCAACCTATGCAAATAAATGGCTCCATACACACAGCCGCGTATAGAGCCGTATATTTGCATAGCATATATATGCGCAAAAACAGAATGGAACAGAGATGCGTATACGCGCGTACATGCGTACAGCACATTAAAAATTCCATTACGAGTGATGCATTCTGGGATTGCATATAGTGCACGCATATACGCGTATATGCTCGTATATGCGCGCATAGACGCAATATACAATTTTGCTTGCATTGTGTGTGAATGAGGCCTAAAGGAGTTAAATCTTAAAAATGCATTCAAGTACCCTCACTATTAACAAAATGTATCTTATTTGTGTATCACTCGGCTGTAGATCCTCAAATCATCTCTGAATTGGTGCTGACATTGTCCTTCTGGAGGGTGACTACTTTTGTTCCCCACTTCCATGATGGACAACAATCTCACATTTAGTTTAGTAATTAGTATTAAAGTTATAGTCTATCACAGTGTCAACATGAATTCAGAGATGATTTGCTGAGGTTTGCTGAGTGATACACAAATAAACTACATATTTGTTAATAGTTAGGGTACTGGAGTGCATTTTTAAAGAGGCACCTAGGTGGCTGCAGAGCTCTGTTATTTGACTGGGTTAGACATTCCCAGGAGTTGGAGATGATATGAGATCAGGAAGTTGGGCAGCAAAGGTCAGATTTAAGTAACTGCTTGCCGTCCGTCCGTTGTAAATACACAGACAGACGGCGAACTCTTCCCGGTGGGTGGACGTACATGTATGTTGATCATGCACGAGCAGAATCCTGCACAATTCTTTTAACAGCCAGTACCGGTTGTGACATACAAGCGTTAGGGCCGCTCTATAGCAGCCAAATCGCTTGTATGATGACAAAATGCATCTGTCCCCTCCGCAACCACCAAAAGAAAGCTCTATTTGTCCCTAAAAAATTGTATAAAATATATTTCGGTACATCAATGCATGACTGAATAAATGGCAGTCAAAGTACCGCAGGGCTGATACTGAAAAATGGCCTGGACAGGAAGGGGGTTCAACCCCCGGTCAGCAAGTGGTTAAAGTGACCTCTCACACTGATGATTTGTTAATTATAGACTAAAGGTAAATTAGGAGGCGACTATAAATAAGTAACCCTTCACAATTAGAATATATCTGAATACTCAGATTCTACTTGCATAAGTCCACTTGTGACTGATTCCTTTTATTTTAGGTAGTCTATTCATTCGAGAACTCTCAAATTCTGCTGTTGCCTTGCCTAATTGTCAGCTGATTAGTGACTATAGCAACACTTGTTTGGAAATGATAGGGAAGTACATGTTGGTTTCCAAGCAGCAAGGTTTGTGCTGTTCTGCCCAAGCTTGTAATGAATTTTCACTTCTGCAGTCAAATTTGTGAAAACCCCTCAATATGTAATTGTCATGTGTTCCCATTCACAAAGCATATCTAAAAATAATTGTAAACATATAGTTTTATCTTTCTTGTTGTTTCTTTGCATCAGGATCATACATAGGAGTGCAAGCTATTCTGAATAATTCCAGGGGGCCAAGTGGGGAGAGTCATTGTCCCCTCATTAACATACAATGCAGAACCCAAGCCCTGATATCTTTATCCCTTTGTTAAAGGAGAACTATGAGATGAGTGATTTCCACTCACCTCATAGTTCTAGCCGACCTGTGACAATGAGACTGTCACAGGTCGGCTCAGTAGATCGGGAGGTGAGCGAACACATACCGGGACGCTGTATAAGGGTGATTTAATGCAGTTTGAAGTCCAGCGTCCTTCCCCATTTCTCTTAACTGAAACTCTGTACCTCAGTATGGAGCTCTGCCTGGGAGAGAATGTGTAGAAGCATGAGCTCTGCAGCCCTGATCGAGTAATCACAGTTGCAATGCTTTCCAGGCTTGAATGCAAAAATTAAAGAAAAGCATATGTTTTGTTATATTATTAAATAAGCATTTCTTTAGTTTTTGAAAAAGGCGAACTTTTTCAAAAACTGAGCTCCATACTGAGGTACAGAGTTTCAGTTAAGAGAAATGGGGAAGGACGCTGGACTTCAAACTGCATTAAATCACCCTTATACAGCGTCCATCCATCCTTCCTCTGGTTAGATGCGGTAGAGCTGTCCTTATTCCCGTCCAGCTGTCCTTAGGCCTCATTCACAGCAGATGCAGTGCGTTCCGGCCCGATCCTGGGCAGAACGCACTACCTCGCATTGCGGCCAGCTCATTTTATTGTGGGGCAGGAGGGGGCATGGCGGTCCATTGAGGTGAATGGCACCGCAGCCAAGCCCTCTGGTCGCAATGCGATCGGCCGCACGGGATCGCAAGGCACATTATGCCTGCGGTCCGGTCTGGTCCAAACAAAATGCTGCAAGCACTATTTTGATCGGACCGGACCGCAGGAATAATGTGCCTTGCGATCTTGTGCTATGGTGCCATTTACTTCAATGGACCACCATGCCCCCTCCTGCCCCACAAAAAAGAGAGCCGGCTGCAATGTGAGGCAGTGCGTTCTGGCCAGAATCGGACAATAACATACTGCATCTGGTGTGAAGGAGGCCTAACCCATCTCTCCTAACTGAAACTCTGTAACTCAGGACAGAGCTCTGCCT